GTGTTTAAAAAAAGGGTAGATGTGGTACAGGGACATGGTTTAGAAATGGTTTTGTCAGGGCAGGTTAATGGTTGGACTTGATGATCTTAAAGGTCCCTTCCAACCTCAGCAATTCTATGATTTTATGATTCAAAACATTAGAATGCACATATTTCTGTCTTGAAATCCCTTACATTTTGGACATAATTTATAAGCTGATGAAACTTTTAGTACCTTCTTCACAACAACAACAACAACAAAATGCAGTATTTTAAAAGTTTCATGTAAAGTAAGAACTCCTGCAGCATCAAAAACTTCATGCATTACTCAGAAATACGAGACTGGTAAACTCATTAAACAAGTATGTTCGGAACTATTAATTTAGGCAGCGTTGCCTTATATAGTCATTAAGGCCAGCAAACAGATGATACAGAGCAAGAGGAATTGTTGCCAGTTACTTTAGACTGGAAAATATGAGAACAAAATCTAATGCTAGCTGCCAACTAATTCCTCTTCTCTTCTAACAAAAATATTGAAGAAAAGCTTTCCTTGGCTGCAGCCACTTGCTCTCTAGTAAGAGAACAGAATTTGGCTATAGCTATAATAAACATTATTTTACATTTTTCTGCAGAAGTTAGAAAAATAAATGCCAAGACAACAAACTCCAGTGGGGAGAGAAGTCTGCTTGGAAAAAACTAAACATTCATGTATAACTGTCAAAATTATGGAATAACTTGATTCAAAGATACATTTTTTGAACAATCCACCCTTAACTTTGTTTGGACCTTGACCACTAGTTTAGTTTTTAAATGAAAGTGAAAAATACTTTTAATACTTTTGTAACTGAATAGTTTTGGGGAGGGGCTGACTTTTCATTTTCATACTCCAATCTATTTCCCACCCATTTTTGTCCCATTAAGTCAACCAGACTCCTAATAAAGTGCCATGGGGGTGGGAGTGAAAACAAAATTACTTTGGACAAAGTCTTTCCCAAAGTGACATGTTCAGAAAGCTACTGATGACAAATGAGAGGTGTTTCACTTGACATATTTTCAGTTTTCTGTCTCAGGTGCAATTTGTCTGAGTCAAGCACTATGCAAATGCACAGCACTTCGAGTGGATCAGGGACAGAAAGGACTGGGTGCAGGTACCAGAGCTAAAAGCTCACTGCAGAAGCATCTGGGAGTACCAGAAATGAAAAGTTCAGACAAATGCTATAAGAACATGACGCTGGAAGTGGGAGGAACTGCTGCTGATCTCTCCCTCCACATCCCCCGCCAGCTTTCCTACCTCTCCCCTAGAAAGCACCAAAGCAGCAGTGGCTGCAGGAGGTACCCCAGGAAAGCAGTCCAGACACTTCGCACCAGGTCACGGCTCAGGTATCAAGTGTGCCAGGAGAACAGTTGCTGCAGAAGGAGTGCACACTGGTTTCTTTCTCAGTGAATACAAAACAGAACTTAAAGAGCCTACACCAACCACATCCACAACATGAAGAAAGGTCATTCCTAATCCTGTAGAAAAAAATTTAAAGTCTGTGTCCACACAACTAAACTCTTCTCCCTGCTCCTCAAAATTAGAGTGTTTGCATTTAACTTGTTTATTGGATGGTCCCTGTAATGAGCTGTGCGCTGTACTAAGTCTGGAAAGTGTTTGGGAGAGCAGCAAACAGCAAAATAATATCAGAGAGTATGCTACCACTTACACAGTGCAGACCACCATAAGGCAGTGTTCAATCCTTGTCAGGGCCCTCCATAGTTTGTTAGTCCAAACATGAACATTAACAGATGACCTACACTCATACTGCTCAGCCAGAGGGCAAAAATGAGACAAAGCTTCAGCAGACATCTCCTAAAGTTTAGACTCACTTCAAAGAAATGTGTGGAAATACAGGTTTGGTTCATCCCAATGTACTTCCCCAACTGTTTTCCAAATAATATCAATGATGTTTTATCAGTTTTGCATGAACTATTTCACTTTTACCAAAAAACCTCACTAAATTATCCACAAAACATTTTCAAATTCTTACGTTTTATTAAGATTTAAGTCTGTATTCCCTCTACCCTTCAAGCACACATGGTTTCTCTAGACAAACAAAACAAGCTCCATGAATGACATGAGTGACACCAGAGGTTTTTCCTAGGCTGTACATAAACACCCATACAAGCCTATCTTTTCAACAAGTTAGCAAAAATTTATCATAGGACATTTGTTCAAAAGAATTGTGTTACAAGAACATGATTTCATTGAATAAAATAATAACGTGCCTTCTAAAGCTGTTCAAGTAAAGACTACACTCCCACCCCCCAAACCTTGAAAACTAGACTAACTTTTTAGAGTTGCCGACTGTTGAGGAAACCAAGGTGATCAACCAGACTGTTTCAAAGTGTTTAAACCCATATACTTGTAATTTCTCACCTGGCATAGCCTGAAAGTATTAAATCTTGACATCATAAGTGTGACTGTTTAATTAGAACATATCCAAGAAACAAAAGCTTCCAATGGAGAATGCACTTCTAAGTAAGAGATGGAAACAACTGATTTCTTTAAAGAAGTCTGTGTAGCATAAGAATTTCCATGATGTTCACATTTTCCATTAAGCTCTATTACTGGTACTTATTAAAAGTAGTATCAAACTTCAAATCGCTAAAACTGCCATACACACACATTTACAACATCAAAGAAGTTTCTACAAGCAAATGTGCAATGTGTATTATGTTCTCCTTGATATTCTTCTAAAATAAGATTGTTGTACAGACTTGCAACATCTGTGAATTTTTCTTGATGCATTTGTAGATTAAAAAAAGTTTCCTGGAAGTAGTAAAACCTGGACTAGAATCACTGTCATATTTTATAAGATATAATTTAATTAAAAACGTAGAGTATTTGTTCCTCCTTTTCAGGCATTGAAAATTACATTTCCTATCTGTCCTCTGTTCTTCTACCAATGCCGCACCAAGTTACCGACAGACATACTGGTGCTTTTCAGCCAATCTTACCTGCGAAATTCAGACTACAGCACTTCAAGGTGCGACAATCCACTATCTAAAGTGCCTCATCATAGTGCAAACTTCAAAGATGAACATCTACCATTTTAACGTAAAGTATTGAACTGAAATTGTATGATTACACCAGCCAGGCTCTCAGCTTTCAAAAACTACATTAGTTTCAAACTTCGTGCTTACTGTATTATAAAAAGAACATACTTAAGCTCAGCACAAAAAGGCAAGAGGGCCATCTAAAACACAACTTCTCATGAAAATTAACCATATCAGGTAATTTGTGGTAGGCCAGAATTCAGAAATATTTGTGGCCTCAGAAAACTTTCCTTAACTCATTTTCTCTGAATTACTCAGATAACGAAGTGCTTTTCCTAAGCTAAGCATTATTTTCTTTAATTCTCTTAATTCAAGGGAATTTAAATACATCTGGAATGACTGCAAGGTTATTGAATCCTGCAAGAACGCTCATCATTTTGGTAGCATACTCTGTGATACAAATTGATACTGGCTGAGCCAAAAAAATCCCCAGCCACTTTCACTGCCATTCAGGTCGTAAAGAACAGGGAATCCTAGGAAAGATTTCTAAGTATATCACGGTTTCATTTAGATAAAGAAATCAGCTACTTCTACAAAAAAGATGGTAAAACACAGTAGAATCCTATACAAATGCTATAATACCTTGAAAGAAATTTTAGTTTGTACATAATAATATTATTTAAAATTAAAACCTTTTTTAACTACTAAAAAGTATTTCAACTCTTATTAAGTCATGGTCAACCCTTCTAGGTAATGCCAGCTAGAATGCCCAGGATCTCCCTTCTACAAGACTCCCTATGTGGAATACAACCTCAAGAGCCTGTCTGTGTGAATGGTTCTGGAAGAGCTATACTTGCATCAATCCTAATGGATGCAGGACCAATCTGTTCTTAACAACACATCAGTGACAGAGATTCACAGTGTCTCCAGGCAGCCTATTGCACCGCTTCACTATCACTACCATTCAGGCCTTCCCTCATCCCTCTTGTCCAGCCTAAAACTCCTTCGCTGCAATTATTTGTTAGCCTATCTGCCATGGATTTGCGGAATAGACTGCGTGTTTATTTTCTGCAAAAGCCTTTCACATTTTTGAAGAACATGTTCTCCTCAGTCTTCTCTAAACGAAACAATTGCCATTCTTTTGGTCTGTCCTCAAGGGTCAAGTTCATAATCTTATCTCCCTACTTTGGACATGCTTCAACTGGTCAGCATCTTTGTTGAAGCGCTGTGCCTAAAACTGAAAGCATCTTGTGGATTATCCCCTTCTTTACACATGCCAGTCTAGCTATATCATTTTCATATCAGCAAGACCTTGTTTGCTTACCTTTGTTTCACTATTACTCCTGCCCAAACATGCACTTTGGCCTAGCACATATTCCAATTGAATTATGTGACACCCTCTCCCTCTCCAACTTCTGCTACTGTCATGATCGTTTTGAATTCCAATTCCATCTCACTCTGCATTTCATGCATTCTCATACTTGGGTCATTGGTAAATGTAATAGAAATTGCCCACCTGCTATCTAGGATAAAAACTTCAAATCATCACAGTGGGTAATCTCAATACACCCATTCTGATTTTAATTTGTGGTATTCAAAACCACCTTGCACAGACCTTGTGGAATTTTAACTTAGACCATGCTCTCCTGCAGACTGTCATGAGAAATAGCAATCAAAGCTTTTTTTGTTTGCTTGTTTTTACAAACAACCTACATGGTATCTTCTGATCTTCCTTTATCTAGAAGACTTGTACAAAAAAATTGACAGCTTTGACAAAACACACTTCATAATTCCAAGGTAATTATTATTCATCTTGATTTCTTCTAGGATTCATAAAATTTATCCAGTATTTTTCTGGGAAAGTTCAACCAAATGGTAGCAAATTCCCAAATTCTTTCCTTTTGCTGCTTAATTCTTGCTCCATTGTCTTCTGACTACTGTCATCAGCACTTTAAAAAGAATAGAAACAGAGATAAAAGTACTTACAGGTTTCCTAAGGAAAAAAAGGGATAGCGCTCCAATTAGGGGCATGTCTCCAATTAGTGGTTCCAGGATAACCCTCATAGTGCCATGGATCTGTGGAAGAGGAGGAAAAAAAAAGATAATGGAATTGACTTTAGTTCAAGTTTGAAATAAAATTTATTCACTGGCAATGCTCATGCTTCTAATTCATTAAATTCTTGACTACAGAAGAATTTTATAGATGTAGCTTTACATGTCATCCAAACCCCAAAAATTTAACAGACACTAAATTTAACTATTTAGTTGACCTTACAAATTCTTACATTCATCTGCATAATGCTGTGTCATGTTAGTGGTAATGTTACTAAAAATACGAAGTAGATTATTTACACAGGTCAATGTAACCACATATGGCACAATCCAATATAACGGCATCCACAGATACTAAAACAAAAGTAGATGAATGCTTATAGGCATGTCAAGACACACATAAACATACTATTTTTCCTCATTAGAAAGAGAGAGATCTGTTGTAAGGAAGTTAAGGAAATCTGAGAAACAATATTAGAAGGCAAGGAGGCTAATAATCATTGCATCTAAACTCATAATAGCATCAAACACTGAAATATTAAATAAAACAAAATTTTAAGCTCCATGTTCCCTTTACAAACGCACACATCACATGAACATTGGCTTCACGTGAAATTATCTCCATCTTTTACAGCAGAAAATGTTACATATTTAGGACAGTTCTACACCTGAAAGGAATTTACCCTTTCAGCTAAGTCATGTTACTGAAATTATTATGCAATATCAATATTGTGCAATTGAGAAAAAATAGTAAGCAACAAAACTACACAATAACTTATTCTTTCTTATGAACTATTTCATCAGAAAACAATGATTCTGTGATGACTCGATATCAAAATCCAAAGAAAAAAATTGAATTTCACCTGTATACTTTTAACGCCAGCTCTGCAGAAGTATCTCTTGATTTCCAAATCAATTTCACAGTTTCCAACAAAACTAGAACAAAAAAGAAAGTATACATTTCATTTTTAAGGACTAAATTGCAATACACTATTAGTTCTGTTTTGCACTGTCATGACAATGTATTTTGTAGCTCAGTCTATACACAAAAAATGCATGTTAAAACATGACAACATATAACAAAGTTGAGATTGTTAAAAAAACTGCAAGTCTCAAAATATCACCAGTGTCATCAAAATCACTCAAATTAATACAGAGGTATGGTATCATCTCCAGAAGCATACACACAAGAAAACATGCAAGCAGCCTTACTTTTGGGAAATAACAGATACAGAATTCATATTCCATTTCAGGAAAACTCTACGTAGGTCTCATTGATATTACATGTACCCAAATCCACTCTCATCTAATATAGTCATGAGAAGCACTAGATAGAAATGGTTATTTTGCTAAAAATCAAAGTTGTTTGAAATATCAAAAGACTTGCAAAACCAGTCATATTTAGAAATTCATTAAGCTGTGCACGCTGAGCTGGATGATCCACTAAGCAAGGTTTAAGCTAAAAACAGCTGAGTCTTTTCTGAGGGGAGAGAGGAGACAGGAAGAAAATTAGAAAATAATATATTAAAAACAATGCAAGTTTTTCCCTGAACCATTCTTGATCCCCGTTTTTGGGGATGCAAGGTCAACGGCTTGAAATTTTGCAGATGCTGCGCTATATCTCAGAGATTTATTTGTAGAAGATGGTAAAAAAAGACCCATCTATTTTGCCCATGCTACAAGGCTAAAAGATTATTTGTACACAACTCAGGCTCAGATTTTAGCAGCTGCTTTTCCTGAATCTCCATGCAGGTCAAGCACGTACCAGCAGAGTTGAGCAGATCTTTTCCAAAAACTGCTGCTGCTGTGAGCCAGCCACATTGGGTCTGAAAATAAACTAACTCTGAGACTCAACAAAGAATTTAGGAAGAAAGCTTGAGACTCTGATTTAGCATGGGAATTGGTCAATGATTCTACAGAATGAGAGCTAAAACCAAAACCCAACAGATCGAATACCAAGCTACAACTAGGGAGAGACTGGATAGACATGGAGACTGACTAAGAAGATATGGGTTATAAAGAAAGGACAAATGAAATCTGAAGAGCTTTCTGAACAGACTGCCCACTTAAAGAAAATGGAAGAAGGAACTAAGTGGGAAAGAGATAAAGCAGCTTGAACAAAGCCAAGACACTGCTGGGGGCGGGGAGGGGGAGGGGGGAATTTGTTTCCTCTGTAGGGCATCCTTTTCCAGATACTGCAGTAGGTTCACATTAGGTTCCTCGGACCTCACCTGTATAGTGAAAAACTGTTCAGCCATGTTTAGGAGTCTGATAGAAATTGGGAAATTATGAAGAAAATGGAGTTGCGCTCCTCATGGGGCCATTTTAGGATCAAGTCAAGATAAAATTAATTACTCTTACAGTAAGAGCAGAACAGCAGGACTGCTGCCCACTCCCCTCTGACAACTGAGGGCCACAAGGTTTCAAAAGAAAAAAAAGGTGGGAGTTGCTGCATTCAGGATATCCATTATTCAAATAATCTGTAGCCTCCTGTGCTCTGTGTGTGATGGTGCTGTCTATGGGATTTCAAGCAAATGCAAATATTATCAATGCCTTAAACGGAAATAAATAGTACCGAAACATCCAACATTGGAATTTATTTTGGACTATTCAAAAGACAACACCACACAGAATCATTTTGGTACAATGACCAGTCTGGGGAGGTAGAAGACAACAACATGACAGGGGTCTATGTGAAAGGAAGGTGACCGTTGCTTTCCCTGGAAAGAATGTAGTGTGACTGTGCAGTTTAAAAATAGGTATATAATTTTTAATATACAATTTAAAGCAATGTGATTTCTATTTTTACCTAACTATATATAGAGTTAGTAGATATATATAAAAATACAGATACACTTATATAATTGCATAACACCATGACACAGTGAAGCAAGGTCAATTAAAACTTGCAACTGAAACCTCAACCTTGGCACTTCGTAGCATGAGAACTATTTGTGTTATGAAGACTGGGAAGCAATACGCTCGTTTGAAAATCCATAACAACATGATGACAAATTGAAGTAAAAATAGTAACAAACTGCATTTGAGGGTAATAAGTGAACAACTTTTAACCTTGTAATAGAGCTAAACATGGTTTTATGCCCTAAGATATTTGTCTGGGTCCATTAACAGTCGACACCGTACGTAACATACAATTTGAAGGCTCATTTTGTAAGTAAATTCTATACATTCAGATCATAATATCCGAGAAATATTTATGATCTCTCTAATGTACAGATCACTGAGATAGATTACAGTTTAATGAGGACAGTCTTGCAAGAATATAACAGCAGCTGTACTGAATCAGATGAGGAGCACAGTATACTGTATGTGGTCATTGTAGCCAGCAGAAGATACACAGAAGAAAAATAAACAAAACAAAAAAAACATTACAGTGATCGGTGATTCTGTACTTTGGACTATTTCATTATTTTTTAGATCTTTAGAAGGTCTTTTGACCACATTTTTATGTCTGTTTTCTACCAGTGCAATGCTCATGAGTTTCTCCATTCAGGTATGCCACATGAAAAAAAAAAAAAAAATCCACATGTTTAAATCTGCAGCCCAAAACTTTTGTTAGTGCCTCTATTTTTTGTCATCAGAAGGTGAAAAAGCTCAGTTGTACACTATTAACAAACATCTCCTCAATCTTTTTTTGCTTTCTTTACTACAGTTCACATTTAATTTGACGGTTTGTCTTGTTTTCTATCGATCCATAACATTTAATTTTCTCCAAGTGTTTACTACATTCATGCACTTCAGCAAATGTAAGATTTCTGCTTATTAAGAACTCATTTAGACTTTATCTTCATTTGCTCAAGCAGTTAAAATTTTCCCTTGCACATCTTTGTAACCAGAAACTAGACTTTTAAATTGTAACCTGAATTTTGACAATTTTTTTGACATAAAGCTCACAGTAAGTAATTGTCCTGGTTTGCGACAGTAACAGAAACCTAAAGTGTACCCTTTCCAAACATGGTCCTGAAATGGAATCTTTAAATACACTTTCCAATGACTGCTTTGTGGATTAGCTAGTCAAGCTGCTTACAAGAATAAAGTTCTTAATTGGATCCTGAGCAATGCATAGGACCTGTTTCAAAAGGTTCTGAAAAAACACTAAAGCAATGATCATAATGCACTCAATATCCTTGCAGAAATGCATGCTCCTTTTGCAATTAAACTTAAAAGAAAAAAAACCCCAAAACTCCAGGAAGCTCCAAAAAATACTAAATAAGTGTTTTGGAGACACATTGAAACTACTTAAATGTACTGTATAGAAGGTCCAAAGCAAATGCATATATGCTGTCACAAACAACTGACAACAGAAAGGGCTAAAGGAAGCCACAATGGTAAAACAGCAGGATAAAAGGAGATTATTAAAAGAATTAATGTACTTTAAAAAAAATAAATATCTTTCATTCCCTCCCCCCTGCTACACCGCCCTACAGGGCTTGGCTTCATACAGCTATTCTTACAAATACTTAGAGAGATCGTTTCCCTTCTCAACTGTATTTAGGGAATGAAGGGTTTATAGAAAGCTCCTAACTTTAAATTTAAAAATAAATTAAAATTAGAACAAACTAATTTAAACTGGAGATTAAAATCTACAGGGATAAATACTCTGAAGGACAGACTTTTCTCCTGCAGTTAAGACTATTCTTTATAATCTTGCAAAACTGAAGTTGATTCCCTAAAAAATAGTTTAGGGTTGGTATGTGTACATAACTCTGTATCTAAACATTTACTACAGAGACTCTTATTCTTCCTTCCTGTTACTACTGAAACAATGCCAGTGATGGACACTTAGAAAACATTAAAAAAATAAAATCAAACAGTAGCAGTTGATACTGGAGTGCCATCTGTCTTAAACTTGCATGAGTAAAAGATTTTGGAACAGATCTCTTTACCAATGAGAAAGCGTCAAGGACAAGTCTTACATACGAAATGGGACTTCCTTTGATGTTGGTTTTGTCTAAGCCTTAATTGTTAGAAGCTATGATAGTCACTCCATAGCTCTCCTGTTTCCATTTTCTTCCTGGAAGCCTATGCCACTGGTGGTAGGGGGTAAATGGGCACCTAGCTGACTCAGCACTATTATTCTTTATTATTTAAACCACTTCAAGGAATTTATTTCAGCCTTTTAGACTGGATTCTATTCCAGGTGTTACCACTTCTCTACGTAGGTTGCAATGTAATACAATGAGACATATGGGTAAATATTTCCTTCAAGTCTAGGTAATAGGACATTATTCCTGAAATTTTTGTACAAACCTATTGTCCTTTTTACATTTATCTGTCTCAGCCTACTTTATGAAGCAGAGCAGGAGGGAAAAAAAAAAGAAAAAAGAAACACTAGATTTATCCTCTCCTCCTGTGGGAATAATTCTGCTTGAAAGGGAAGAAGTGATCTTGGAACACTTGGCCCTTAAATGTCTCAAAAATACATTCTCAAAACCAATTTCTTTGCACTGTGTCCATAGCGGTCAGACAAGTCTGTTTTCCTGAGGGCTTAAGTCTGAAGAGGTGAGGCTGTTCTCACAGCTGCTATCAAAAGTGGCAACAAAGTGAAAAGTAAAGGAAATTTCTCCATTAGTGCTAACAGCATCCATCCAGTGAAACAAGCTCTCAAAAAGAGAATCCTGCTGCGTTTTGTCCAGCAACACCAACCCCTGATGTGGATAGCTGTTTTTTTCCTACAGAAATTAAGTGATTCAATTCAATAAAAGTTGGACCCTGCTCACAGATGTAGCCCTCGCCCCGCTCTGAAACCCAGGAAAGGATGCAGCAGCATCTTCTCTTATCACTCTGGCGCCAGCTTTGACAAAGAAGCAGAGTTGTCAATATAGCTGAGATTTAGATAAGTAATTCAAAATTAAGAATAACCAAGTTCAAACTTTGGAAGTGACCCTGAAAAATAAAAGCTGAGGACCAATTCCCCTTCCAGTTAACGCCAGGGAAGCAGCAAGAAACTCAGAAAGCTGCTCTTTACTGGATCATCAGTGACTGACAAAGCTGTCCTTTCCAGAAGCTACAAACAGGCAGAAGTAGTCACTGTAACACATATCTATGATGGTCAAATATGAAAACATTCCTGGGTTCACTGACTGAACTTTCAAAAAACTCTGTAACTGCAGATTGTGTTGAGAAGGATTTTGGCAAGTACTGGGTAGATCTATTTATAAACCTATATAAAAGGGTCATGATGAAAGGGCAAAGAAACCTTAAGCAGCGGAGCACAGTTGCTCTAGCATTATAGAATACATAGAATTACTTCAGTTAGTGGTGTGAGCACAAGTACTTCAGTAGCTATCTTTTTTTTTTTTGGTATAACAGTATTGGCAAAAGAGAAAAAAAAATTAAGTCACTGAGAAAAGTAAAAAACCCAAGCATCTTATATCCTAAATTTCAGACTAGACTAAACTCCATGGCAATTTTTTAAAACATTAGGGGAAAAAAAATAAATATCAAAGACGGTGCTTTAGCTCTGGAAATTTTTTTTTATTAAGTGGCATTACTTTAATGATGCAGTCACACTGAGTTGATATACTATTTCCCTCAGATAAATGCTATTTACAGCATGCAGTTCCTTCCTCCATTCATACACAATTAGAACTAACTACATTTGAGTAATGAAGTAATTCTTCTCCTTTTAGGCCAACATAACTGCCTAATAAAACAAAGCACATATTACAAAGCATGGGCACCACAGTAATACAATAATAAAGTTTACCTGATTTGAAGGTCCAGAATGATCTGCCTTTTGTCCACATTTTCAGTGTACACTTTTACACCATTTATCCGTAGAGGCTGAAAAAATGAAGCAAGTAAAAGTTGGATCCTTCTACTGAACTATACCATACTAAACCCTTAACTTCAAAATAAAGGTGAATATATGCAAATTCAAGCCTGAAGTTAAGAGTTTACTATAAGCATTATTAAAAGGTGTGAAAAAAAGCTATCAATTTAGATCAAAATGTTATTTCAAGGGTAAAAGTTACCTTGCTGGGATCCACTCAACCACAACCCTCTGGCAACTACCCTGGGTTTAGACAACTAGATTTCAAATTTACCAAAGATTTAATATCAAGATTTCCCTCTCTACCCAATAAACATCTCATTTCTCTGTACTACTATCTGTATGTCTAACACTCCCAGACAAAGCATTCTTTTCTATGCAGACAAAACAACATGCTATTTTTAATTCACAAAAATGTAACTGCCTTAAATGGAATAGTCAGAATGGATGGAAAATAATCCACAATCCCCACAAAAATTTGTGTCAAGCACCACATGCTCTCTCTCTAAACCACTGTGCTTGCACTTGCCCTCTCTCATAGAGAAACAACACATATCAATCAAACATTCCCAAGACAGAAGTGTTCATCAAATACTAGGTGGGAAAGGATGACCGATGACCTTACTTAGCACCACCCCCTGTCACGTTTTGAGGTTTTCCTTTCTGAAAAAATTGCCGTATTTCTATTTACACCTTTTTAGTAAGTTAAGTAAAATGGAAATCTCACTGCTGTCAGATTCCCACTGTGTTTGAGGCTGTGCAGCTCACAGGATACAACTCAATCGTGGCTGCAATATAAAGTAAGAACAGCTGTTTCTTATGTCCAGGATAACTCAGTCCAGCTGCAGAAGCATACAGAGGTTTTTACCCCACTCAAAGTTACTATTGCTTAAAAGGAATGCTATTCTACAGTCTGTAATACAGGTGTATCTAGGGCAGGACTCTCAGCTTTTAAAAAAAAAAAAACAAAAACACAAAACCACCACCACACAAAAGGCACAGTAATGAATTGTTATATACATGAAATAGAGTCACAAAGATAGAAAAATAATTCCCCTCCATCACACCCGAAACGTCAGTTTTCCTAACGTGTGGGGTGTGGCATTGTGTGCAGCTGTGGGACTGGAAGATTTTTTTAAAATCCTTACTTAAAATCCCATTTATGACAAGCAAGAGGAACACAAAACACAACTTCATGAAAAAGCTGTTAAGCTACGTCTCAACAGAAGTAAAACTTTGGCTGATGCAGGTAAGAATAAGTACTGCTGAACTTATTGCAAGCAGAGGTAACATTCTTAGCTTGGACTGGTTAAACGGGCACTTCTGCAGGCAAGTGAGAGCTATCTATTGTGACCCCTTCTTTCATGGGACTAAACAGGAGGTTAACACCTATCTGCTCCTTGATACTATGTTACATGGAATTCTTTGGAAAGTTGAGCCAGCAGCCTTGTCATTGGACTCCGACCATAACATGATTAAAAGTTCATCTGTTACAGGAAAGGTAATTGCACCTGGATCATCTGACAAGAAAAGGATAATGGTCCCTGCTCACTTAATGTAAAGCATTACATGAACAGTATTAAAATTGTGTTGCTATGAGTTCTTCACATGATTAGGAGTCACTATACTTTGAGTCTTCTCCCGATTCTCAGGCAAATTTCTGAAGCAGAGACCCCAGGAAAAAAAAAAAATAAATAAAAATGAAGCCTCTACTAAAAAAGCCGCACACATTTTTATTTGAATGTTACAGAAGAAATCAGAATCAGGCTTACCACCAAGTGTCACCAAGAAATATTTTTGTGTAGATTTAAACAGGTTACATGAAAACAGTATGTAAGACAGGGTCTCTTAGAAAAACTTCACCAGTCACTGACCTGATGACCAATATCAATCTTTGTAAAACTGAAGGTACTGAGGTGGTTGTTTGCTCCTCTTACTGCTGGTTCTATGGTCTCCCGGAAGAGTTTCTCAATAAATTGGCAAATAAAAGGCCACATCTGTTTTACAGTCTAAGGAAAAAAAAAAATATTCTTTCAGGCATATGTAAGAAATTTTGTACAAAGTTTTAAACATTCAAGTTTTCTATACAGTTCATTACAGACATAAGAACTGGTTCCTTTTTACATACAGGAAAGCTTTCTGGAATTCTGAATTTGTGTGTTTTATACATTTGCACAAATCTGAAGAACTGGAGGAGGAGGAGAACAATAATAAGAATTTTCTTCTTTTATCCCACAAATGCATATGCAGCCAGCACTGATGCTGAATGTTGGGGAGAAGGGTGAAGAGGGTTAAGTTTATTTGCATGTAAAGAGAGGAATAAGAAAAAAATGGGTCAAGTGCATTTCATAAATACACGCATAAGGTTTGTAAATGTAAAATTACAGTATTTTACTGTCATATCTAAAAATTCTTTACTGTTTATTTTTTCCTCACTATTTTCTAATTAACTCATGCTCTTCTATGCTCTTTGAATGAAAGATATTTTTAGAAAACCCAAGCTACATAGATCTATAGATCTTAGATGATCACACATATAAATCAAAACTGCAAAATTGATTTATTTTTAGATTGTAGGTCAGGAACCTACAGTAACTGGAGAGAATCCCAGACAAGTAGAACATAAAAGTCTGTGTTTACAGCTGCTATGACTTCCACACAATTATAGCTGTCATTATTTTAATGCCACCTAAAGTCATTCTACAAAACTCACAATTTCAAGATCATGAAAACAGATTTAATCTTTCTTGTGACTAACTGGATCAACAACCAGAAGCTTCAAGTGTAAGAAGAGCACAGAAAGTTAAAACTACGCTGTTCTCAGATTCTTGCCTCACTGTTTTTTTTAATCTCAGATTTCCCTCACCCCTCTTCCCATTTGGAAGAGATGCTAATAACCAGTCTTACCTTGTTGAGCCATTCTGCCCTCTCTGTGTCTGGAAAATGGACCTAAAAAAAAAAAACCCAACAAAAAAATTAATAAAAATATAAAACCCTTTTTAGTTAATCATGTCCAGTCATTTATAATACAGGAAAGCTTAGGGATCTCCCTATGAGCAATGTATACAGTGAACAACATATTAAGCAGTTAACATGCTTGACAAGAATATTAGAATTCAATCAGATAAAATATGAACTCATTTCTGAACTATATAGATACAAGTCCAAGCATACATTTAATAGTGACACCTGGAATAAAGTATTGCTTTAACACCATGAATGAACTAAAAAAAAAAACCAACCAAAACCACATAGCTGACACAGCTAGCGTCAACCAAATTTACCTCTTATGTTTCAGAGGTCTTTAACGTGACACACACGACTGCCAGAGTCCTGACTGCATTTCAACTGCCTTTCATTCATGCCAGATCTTTTGCAGCATCAATAAATCATGGCTAGAAATATTTAAGCAGTGAAGCTGAAGCTCAGAAAAATGGATTTACTCTCCACCAAAAGCCCCTCAAAAGACATTTCTAGTGATTTCTTTTCTTGAACAACTGCAGAAATCCTTAAGAGGCAGAAATATGATGGTATATACACAGGATGGAAAGTACCCATCACAACAGGAAAACACCAATTAAACACTGGAAGAACAGAGACAGTTTTCCAGACACAGAAGAGCAGCACAGTTAGTAACTTTACACCTTAGACACGCATCAAAAAAAAAAAAAAAGATGAAAACCTGAAGCAGTTCAGTAGAAGCAGAGTTAACAAACTTTTCTTTAGAAACTAACAGCTTCTACAATGAAATGCAGATCACACTTCTGAAACACAAAGAGCCTTTGAACACACTAAAAAACTGTGACCTACATATACTGACTTTCGTGAAGCAATGCAGCAGTGTCTCTACTTAACTGAATTGCGAAGTCTTAATCTCTTCACAGCATAACAGATTGTACCACTGGTTTTAACAGCAGTGCCTACTGGTTATTTTTATTATGCATATATCCCAAATGTGAAGAGTCAGTTAAATAAACACTTTTTTAACGGTATCTTCAACAAGTTGGACTTGAAGAAAGCCCCGTTAATGATTCCTTCGCTTAGTTTTTATTAAATTCTTGCATTAACAATCAGCACTATCACATTCTTGAATATACTCAAGTTGCCTTCACGAAAGTCCTTAATTTCATCTAAGCATCCATGTTTTAGCTATGCTGGAGGGTTGGCCCCTACAGCGGAATCAATATTGTCAGTTATTTCTCCAGTCTCTGTCTGTCTCAATATTCCCAGGTCCATAACGAAAGTAAGCCATACATTTTTACTGATTCTTAAAGAATTTCAAATACTGCTTTCTTCCACTGTCAAAAGAAAGGCTCTTGGCATCTTTTTCAAACAGCTTTTTTCAAGTATATCACATATCTATCAAAACCATTACAAGTGGCACAAGAATGACCAATGGTCTGCTTGACTGTAACAAAAACATTCAATAGGATTTATTTTACTTAGTGAGTTCAAAGAACTGAATTACTAATAACGGATGGAGCAGTTTGGGAACCACATTATTACATTTTATTTATTTAAAATTAATTTCCTAGAAAATTATGGTGAGTAGAACGTCAGAAGTCTGTATTTAGAGGGTTGGGCAGGGTTTTTTGCTTTCTTAAAACCAAAAAATACTTAGCTTTTTTGCATTTGCAACAAAACAAGCAGTTTCTGTGTGTACATGAATTTACATCTGAACAGGGCTTACACTCAATTTTGGTCTTGCAGGGTTCTCAAGTTGTTTCCAGTGATCAAAAACTTAAAGGAACAAAAAGAACAATCACTATGTTAACCCTAATGCTAATAAGTAACATTTTGACCTTTCTCCTAAAATATTTGCCCTCCGATTCTGCAGATGTAAAATATCCAGTTCTCAATAATTACTTATCTCTTAAGCATGATGTTGGGTCAACATGAATGTGTCATTCTGATTTGCTTAGGAGAGCGATTAGTGATGCTCACGGGCTGGGAACTCAAGAGCTGTTCCATACAGGGGAGAACATGAACAGCAACAAAATAAATTAAAAAGAAACAACAAATTGAACACACAGATGAGGAAAGGAAAAGAAAATTCATGGAAATACCCAAAGTAAACCTGTCTGCTGTGAGTAATACAAGACATAACAGAACTACCATTTTCACAATGCATTTTTAGTCTTTTGTACAGTTGACATCCAGAGGAGAGCCACACTAGACTGCGAAAAGACTTCCCATCCTAAATAGAATCTCAGCCCAGATGAAATTCATTTTCCTCCATAGAGTGATGCAACTTCCCAGATTTAGGTTATAAAGTCCCCAAGGAATAAGGCACATTCCCTGTGTGATGCACACGGCTGACATTCAATACAGCTGAATGGAGTAAAACAGGTAGCATCTCTCTGGCACCCATCAAGCACCCTTCACATTCAGTCCCAAATTACGCAGAATCACTTGAGACATACTGGGAAACAAACAAGAGGCCACAAACCCCAATATCTAGCCACATACGCTAATTTATTAATTTTGAATTTCACCTACTGCACAGTCTTTATTAAGACCTTGCTTAACAAGACATGGTTCTTATTTTTTCCACAGATTTAATAATTACTTGTCCTTTAGTGCGCCACACCTATCACGCTCCTACCATTATTTGAGGTAGTACTAGGTCAATTCCTTAATTATATAAGCCTAGTTTACTTCTGCAGTTGCACATGTAGGCAACAATAGACAACAAATAATACAATGAATTCCATCTTCTGTTCCTGTTTCTTATCCCTTTTCCATTCTTGCTTTTCTACTCACTCCATTTCAGTGTCTATTCCGACATTAAAACCAGAGAGAAGAGAATACAAACTTCCCTCTTCACAACTCCAAAATTTTTATTCCAGCCAACCCTGAATCAGAAGTTGAGCCTTATTTAATCTTTACATGCTCCACAACCAGTTAGGCTGAAAACAAGGTATAAACATTTATCAATCTACTAATTCCATACATTTTTAGCCTGCTATATGAGACTGCAGTATTAATGGCAACATTGTATTTTACTTTTAAGAGTTTTCGATATCAAGCACAATCCTATGCAAAGACAACTGGGGAAAGCCTGAGGAGTGGAAGTTGGCACTCTGGATCAGTCAGGACTGACACAAGAGCATCAAGGCAACTGCACAAGCATTTTATGGCCAGAAGCAGGAATCAGACTGATGTGCAAAATCTGTTAACTCCTGTATAAAATCTACTAGACAGAAGGAGACAGAAGTCAAGATTTCCAGCAAAGCTAAAAGCATTTTTCACTTCATTTCTGTCATTAAATTGCTCATACAGGTTTGGTAAGTTCTGTCTCATTTCAACCACTTTGGCATAGTTATTTATTATTCAAAAGAAAGTATCACTAGAGAGAACTGTTCCAAGAAATACCCTAACGACCATGATCAACACTAAAACCAGTATAATATTACATGTTCCAGCAACGTTCTAACATTAGAAGTTATATTGCAATATACTTGGAAGTGCTCAAAAGATGTGTTTCTGCACATTAAAAATACATGATTTAGCTTTCTCAAAAAACTGCTTGTGCTCAGCTCTAAGCAACTCTCATGTTTACTTCCAATTTCTGATGTGCTCATATCCTGTGCTATCAAAAACTCAATTCAGAACACATTATTTATTTTTTTTAATGATCAATAAAATACCAGAAAGAGCGCAAGGAATGCAGTTCCTTGTTCTGTCCTGGAAGATAATAAAACAAAACAGGGACAAAAGAAAACCCCTAACAAGCTCCTATTTCCGTAATAACAGCAGAAACATTTCTTACCCACAATTATTTTATTATACAAACCATATAAACGCTTTTCATATTGGCTAAATTAACTCAGTTTTCTGCCCAGATGATCTGCATCTTTCTAAGGAAACAAGGCTAGACAAAGAATAATAACCATTAAACTCAAACCCCATGGATTAAGGACTAGCGGGAAATACTGAAGAGTCAAACAACAATCAGCAAATGATATCAAATGAGTTTCAAACAGGAAGTATTAATAATATTGCTGCCTTAAATATAATTCTTCATTCACATAAGGGAGGTTTCACATACCTACATAAGTGTCACTAAAAGCAAGCATTCACAAGAAAATCAGAAAGCAAGAAGTTACAGCACCCTTCTGGAAGTAATGGTGAACTTCTCTCAGTACAAGTTACAGGTATTAATAATCTACTTTAAAATATAAATTGCACAGTAGTTGTTATTCACCGATTCCCTCACTGTAAAAAACTTTTCTTTTTGAAATTATCTTCATAGCCTTCTCCATCCTTAAAGCTATTTATCAGCCAAGCCTTGTTACATTTAACTTCTATTTAATGATTATGATTAATACAGTGCAGAGGTCCTAAGTATTAATTACATGAACTAAAACAACAAAAATGGCACCTACATTGAAAGTACAAAACTACTGCTATTGACCAGAGTATTCCATAATGTGAAAACTTTTTGCTACAAACTAATCACTTTGTCATGAATTACAGCAAAGGCAGAAAAGGAAGAAATAAAAGCAGTTTAGATTCAAAAAACACCAACAAACAAAAAACCAAACTAAAAGCCCCCACAACACTGTATATTGGCTTCCCCCCCCTTCTATTTCACCCCAAGGATTTAAAGTCAAAATTCAATTTTAAACTACATTAAAAATAATGTGTTTTAAGAGCTATGTTTAATAGATACTTATTTGAGTCAGCATTACTTAGTTGCATTACTTAGTTTACATCTAGTTCCTTCCATTTGCACTGTTTAATTACTTCTTGCTCCAGATGAAAATCGCAAAGAAACTATACGAGTAACTCTTTATTGATTATAAGGCCACACAACATAAGCAAATGTCTTCATATGGTTAGAATGTAACTAAGTATTGTTGGACAGTTTTCCAGTTATTTCACAAATATCCCTCATATTAGATATCAATCCCTTCTGCTTACTTTGGAAAGCTAGTGTTACATACAAAAATCCTCCTATCAAAAGCACGTTTGTCTAGTTTAAACATAAAAGTATAAAAGGTTATTGCAATTAGTCTTCATAGTCTCTTCATGCATCATCAGTGGAGAGGGAAAGCATCCCACAAAAGGAAATTCAGAACAGAAGCCCAACTTAGCTGCTCTAAATCACTTTCTGAACACGCGGCATAAGCAGTTATTTAACTAAGTCTAAAGCCAGGTGGAGTGGCAGAAAAGAAACACACTAGAATTAAATTATCCTTTGAATTATAACTCCCAGATTAGTTTGCCTAAACTTACTGCACTTGTAACTCAAAAAGGCCAGAGAAATTTAGTGAAAGAATTAAGAAGAATCCCAGCGTGAAGAGAATGAAGAGTGTCATACAGTGATATTCAAGCTCAATTTAACAGCTCTCTGCTCCAGTGTTTTCCGGTCGGTAAAGCAGTCTGGCCTAAGGACATGTTAGGTAAAAGAGCTGAGCAGGGCTAATGCCTTAATCCGTGTATTCCAGCCAGCAACCCCCTCTCTCTGGAGAAACAAGGAGCAGCAGTAGGTGAAGTATTTGTTCCTTTCCAAAAGGAATCGATGCAGCGCCTTCTGCTACCCAACACAACCTGAAGAGGTTTAGCCCCAAACACAGAGCGGGGGGACAGCCGCTCCTCCCTAACAGGAGGTAAAGAGGGGGGGCGGGGGCTGGAAGGGAAAGCAGAGACCCCAGGCTGTCTCCTGTTATTCCAATAACCCACCTCCGGGGCAACCCTAGCAATTTTCCTAACTTCTTCAACCCCAGAAATACTGTAGCTCCCGTATCTTCTGAATTACAAGGAAAAACACACTAAATATTTACTATTGCAGAACTGCAGGATTCAGTCTTCCTGAAAGAGAAGGTTAAATTGTTAATAATTAGGGTTCCTCAAAAATGCTGCAATTAACCGCAGGTATTTGCTACTAAATTAACAAACACCTACTTATTTCCATTATTTTTGGTAACCTGACTCTGTTTAGCATGCTTTGGCATGGATTTTGTGTTTGCAGTCTTGTATATATTAAAACGATTAGCCTTTGCACAGCAAAATTCCTATTCAGCATTACAAATGCTGTATGTTTTCAGTATGGGAATTAAGCAAGGACTCTTGAAACCGTTTCACTGAGAATCATTAGGGGCATGTTGCATATCTAATGTCTTTCAACAGAAAGATCTGGAAGCAGGCTGAATACAGAAAATCAGTTTTGTCGAATACAATAACTAGCAAAGTCCAGAGGGTACTTCACAAAATGGTAGTTAGAAGGACCT